AAGCAGGAGAGTGCTGGATGACTTTTGCTTTCAAGCAGGCAGTGGGGAGTTTGAATTTGAATGTCTGACAATGATGCAGCTTGTTGGAGCCATTATGCACTGAAATGGGGCCTCATTCAGTGCTGCTAATAAGAGGGTAAATGCAGCTAAATACAGCTGTCTTCCTCACTGTCATTTGGGATTTATTAGCAAATATGCATTGGAATTGAATCCCTTGTAAGTACTCTGCAGCTAATGGTAGATAGCAATTAGCTAAAATGACTACTGTTGAGCACTGATGCTGCCTGCCATCAGCGAGGGGAAGAGGAAATCTGGAGCCAGCACACAGACCCAGCAGCTTCCAGAGCTCCCTGTAGTTTTCCCCTTTGGATTCTCTCTGTTTCATGCCCTCAGCAAAAGACTGCAGTGAAAATTGCTTCATCTGGGAAATCCCTGGAGCTCCAGCTTGAGCAAATCTTCTCCAGCAGCAGTAAGTGTGTGTGTGTATATTATTATTTGCAGCTTGGGGGTCACCAAAAGGGCTCAATGCAATGTTCATACCAGGGACAGTGTGTGGAGGGGAAACCTTCTCCTCTCCAGATGTGCTGGTGGCACAGAGATGTGAAAGGACCTGGCCCAGATGCTTGGAACAATTTAGAAGCTGGAGAGGACTTAGGTGCAGCATTCATGGTTTAATCTTTAGCTTTTTCCTCTCCAAACAAGAGAGATATTTCCTTCCCCTCACTTATAAGGTGACGTGTAGGTCAGAGTTCTCCAGAGGTTCCTCTGACTGGAGGGGAACCAGCTCCAATATGTTGGTTTCAAGCTTCCCAAAGTAGTTTCAATCAGGCTAATTTCACATATATCTTGGTTAGTTTGTTCCTCTCCTCTGCTAACCTGTGTTTGATCTGGTGCCTGGCAGGGAAACTGCTTGTCAGGAGGGGATTAGTGCTGGGGGTGTGACATGGGTGGGAGATGTTGGACTGTGCTGCAAGGAGAGCTGGCCCGGGGCACTGCTGGCCGCACTGCACCACAGCTGGGTTGGGAGGGAGATAACTGGGTGTTCTCATTAGTTCTCTCTCAGGTTGCTGCTGGGTGTGTGGATGATCAGAGGTATCAGCAGTGCAGGGGAGGACGAATATGGAATAGGAGGAACTGAGTGACTGGTAGGTCCAGTGTTGTGGCAGTGGGATGGTGGTTAATGGTAGCAAGCTGAAAGCTTAGGGATTTAGGACTGAGTAATGAGATTTTCTTCTCAGAGCTGGGAGCTCATCATGCAGGAGCAAGTGAGAGAGATGCAGGTGTGCATGTGCTGGTGACACGATGCTGTGAGTCCCCAGCCTGTGGAGAGGAGTGGGGACCCTGCCTGGGGCACAGGAACCAGAGATAAACTGCCCAAAACACACTGTGAAAGTGCCCTGGGCAGAGAAGAGCAGTGTAGTCTGCCTTGCAGTGCTGGCTCAAGGCTAAACAGGTATAAATTCAGGCTGTGCATCAGGAGGATCTGGGACAGCTTTCCTCATGTAGGGAAGCCCATGAAAATACTCAGACCCGTCAAGCACAGCGTTGACTTGGGCACAGGAGAATCATGAGCTGGGTCGTGTTGGATATGAGCTCCCTCTGTGGTGTTCCCATCAGTGAAAGGGACTTGGCCCTGGGGGTCTGAGCAGCCCCAACCTGGCTGTGATACCTGGTGGCTCAGAGCCATCAGCTGCCTTTCAGCTCCAGGAGCTGTGTGAGGGAAAGGGAATTGCTGAAGGGGAATAATTCCCAGCTTCATTAACTGGCAGCATGTTCTTAAAGAAAGTAATTATTTAAATGCATATTTAGTTAGTTAAGCAGTGAATATGCATTTACACTGAGCACCTGGTAAACCTGATTCCTTTTGGGTTGGGAAGAAATGCTTAATTGCCCCTGTCATCAGAGCTCTGAAATGACATTGATTTTTGTATATAACTTAATCAGATTGCAAGGAAGATGAGAAAATTGCAAGCAGAATGCTAACAGCTGTTGCTTCACTAATTCATATCAATAGATAGACTAAGGAGGATTTTTTTACTACTGTTGGTAGTTTTGATGGGGTTTTTTTCTGCCTTACCTTCTGTCTCCAAGCTTGGGGTTTATTCCTGATTCTAGAACTGCAACAGCTCTGCCTGGGAATGAGGTTTGGCAATCGCCCCCACTAATGTGAATCAAATATCTATAAATATCTTTCCTTTTCCCCTTTCTTTTTTTTCTGTAGAGGCAGTTTCACCTTGCAGGCAGGAAGAGGTTCTCTTGCCCTGTGATATTTACAGTATTTGAGGCAACAGACAAGTGTCTCCTGGCTCTGCCTTGTGACATGATCGTTTCCTGTGTGACTTGATGGATGTGTTGTCAGCAGGGACAGCTTGTTGCCAGCAGGGCAGCCCCAGGGCAGCCCTGGGGGTGGGAAAGGGAGGGTTGGGGTAAGACAAGTGTAATTGCTGGACACTGTGTGGTCTCTTTTTCCACCTGCCTGGAGCAGTGAGGGGCTGAGGTGCAGACCTGAGAGAGGGTCAGTGCACAGCCCGTGATCCTGCAGAACTGCCCTTGGCTAAAGGCAGTTTATATGGTCATTTTCCAGCCTAGCACAGAGAGGAAAAGTGTGATGTTGTCCATGCAGTGTTGTTTTCTGGGACTGTTTGGCAATGGAGACCCAAACTTTGGAGGAGAGCAGAGTGTTGGGAGGTCTGGCTGTGGCTCCAAGCTTCTGAGCGCATTCTGAGTGGTGTTCCCACTCTGGGGACCTGTAGCATCACAGTAATTATAGTGCTTGGACAGCATTGGTAACATCTTGTGCTGTTCCCTCTCTTTCCCCCTTGGCAGTATCCTTGGCATCCCCAGCTCTCCCAGGATCCTCGTTGCCTTCTCTGTATTGCTGTGTGGCTTGGAAGCATTTGATGCGTTAAAGTCTTTGCATTTTGCCTGTGCACCTTTTGTGCAGGCACATTTTTTTGCTCTTTAATCCTTTCAGGGAGTTTGCCAGCAGCCAAAAGGCAATCCGTGCTCCTGCTCATCATTAGCTCTGTCTGACAGTGATGAATGACTCTGGGAAATCTTGTTCAAGGCTGTAGCTGCTCTTTCTGTTCTTCTCACCTCCTTCTGCCTTCAGAGCAGTTATCCTTTTAGGAAGTTGTTAAGGAGGAGGGAGGGAGGCCCTGCCCTGTGTTGGATTGGGAAGAGATTTCCTCATCCCTGTCACTGCGTGGTGGAAGGTCACCCTTTCCTGCCTCGTGAGTGTCAGAAGCAACATCCACTGCCAGGTTTGAGAGCTGCAGCTGTCACATTGATGGGCACTAAGTCATCTGCCAATGTTGTGCCACTCACTCCTTCCTCTGGCAGAGTGCTGAGCACATTGCTGAGTGCATTTGTGCCCAAACATTGGGTTTATATTTGGCCTTTCACTGCTGATTTTAAAAATTCTTCTTTTTGTAGTTTCTTAAACATATATATTGCCCTTTTTGAGATCCAAAAGGATCTCACAGTGCAATGGGAGTCTCCTTCATTGCTCTTTATGTGTGTGTGACCCAAGGTGAGGAGGAGCTGCAGGACTTGCCTAATGTTCCATCTGGAATGCAATGCTGGGACTTGTTGCTGTACACACCAACCCTGATCTGAGCTCTAGATTACAACTGGTGTCTCCAAAACTGTTCTTACCTGGCCAGACTGGACATGGTCTGTCATCTCCCTGCTGTATGTGTAGTCTTGTTTTGGTCTGGACAAGATCTGGGAAAGTTGTTGGACCTTCCTGGCAGCTTGTGCTGGGCCTGGAGTCTGGGATGGTCTATCTAGGTGATCTTTAAGGTCCTTTCCAACCCAAACTATTCCATGACTCCGTGAATCCTTGGAAATCCTGCCTGGCTGGAGGAACATAAAAACCTGAGTGGTTTGCACTGATTTAGGGCAAGGCTTGTGAACAGCAGCCACTTCAAGGGACCCTCTCTCCTCTCTTCAGCCCCACAGTCAAGGATGTGCTGTGCTGGTGGGGAAAAGGTTGAGTGTGGTAGAACTATGTTAACAAGTATCTTGCTTGGAAAACCAGATCACGTTCTGCAGTGTCTCCTCTGACCTGCACCATATGGCCAAGCCCAGCATCTCAAGCCTGTCACAGTAATCTGCTGACTCAGGACAATCTTCTTTGCTGGTATTAAGCCCTGAGCAGTAGGTGCTTGCTGGGGTGACACAGGCCCAGGCGTGTTGCCTGTGTCAGCAGAGGAAAAACTTCATACCTGAGGGCTGGGAGGGAGCAGGATGTGCATTCTCAGGTGGGGATGGTTTGGAGCCCAGGGATGTGCTCTGAGGGATCCACCTCCTCCTGCTATTCCCCAGTGTGAGAACTGCTTGGATCAGTTCTGGAATTTTCAAAGCTCCCTGGGTGGCAGATGGATGAGGCTTCTTTGGAACCTGTCAGATTAATGAGTGCTTTGCCCAGAGCTGACCTTCTTCTGGAGGAACCCTGAGCTCCTCACCTGATGAGGAGAGTTTTGTAGCAGCAGAAGTTATTCTGCTCTTGGAGCAAAGAGCCACAGAGGCAATGTGCTTTGGGAAGAGACCAATCTAGAAGGGAGAGACCTGCTTGCTTTTGACCATCTTGTGGACTCTTCTAGGGCTCTTTTTCTTGGGCACTGCTGAAAGTATGTGAGTGAACCAAGACACTCTTGTTCCTGGATTTCAGCTGTGAACTCAGCTATCTCCTACCTGGAACCAACAGTGGATGAAGGATATTTTATTTCTTGGAGGAAAGAAGACATTACTTTCTGTAGATCTCTGGGAACATAAGCAGTGCTTCTTAGCTTAATGACAATGTTGCCTGTACAGATGAAGTGAAAACTGGAGACCAGTTGGAAGCTGGAGAGCAATGCCTGATGTGGAGATGTGAAGATGCTACCAGCATCTGCAAAAGCCTGGAGCCTGATTGTCTGCAGAATTGTCCCAAGTAGACCTCAGCCTCACTGCTTCCTTCTGCCAGTGGCTTGGAGCTCTGGGTTTCTCCTCAGAAAATGCACAGCATGCAGAAGAAGAGGTAGGGGAGAGCTTAGACCCTGTTGAGTCTGTTGTCATTGACTCTTTACCCCTTTGCTGTAAAGGTGGTTCAGGTTCACCCTTTTAGTCATTTTTCACGGACAGTTGAGCTGTGACCTTTGGAAGTTGTTGTAAGTGGAGCTTTAATGTGCTTGAGTTTGTTCATTGACCTTTTCTTGATTCCTCTGCCCTTGGCATTGTGTTTCTGAGTGCTCTTAAGCCTGAAGTGACTGAACTGCATGCAAAGGTGCTTCACAAAAGTAGCTCTGGCCAGGTTCACCCTTTTAGTCATTTTTCACGGACAGTTGAGCTGTGACCTTTGGAAGTTGTTGTAAGTGGAGCTTTAATGTGCTTGAGTTTGTTCATTGACCTTTTCTTGATTCCTCTGCCCTTGGCATTGTGTTTCTGAGTGCTCTTAAGCCTGAAGTGACTGAACTGCATGCAAAGGTGCTTCACAAAAGTAGCTCTGGCTGTGTGGCCCTGAGGATGTGGGAAGAACAGGAGGGTTTTACAAGTGGGTTGTGCTATTATAATTGCCATCTTTGCCTGTTGTCCCTTCCCAATGCAGCAAAGGCTTGGCAGAGTGTAATGCAGGGAAAAAACCTGTCCCTTCCCCTTGTTTGCTCAGGTCCCAATCCCAGCAGTGATGCTAATTAGATCAGTCAGACACTCTGCAGAGCAGCCTGGACAAGGACAAACAGATTTTAATTAAGGGCTGTGTGCACTGGCAGGTCATGGCAGTGCCTTGTGCCTCAACAGTTACTATGGGAACACCAGGAAAGCATCCAGAGAGTGTGAGTGTGGCACAGTGTGAGCTCCCAGGCACAGCATCCACCTGTGGTTATGGCAAATGTGGCATGAGTGAGATGCCACCCTGGGAGCATGTAGTTGGTTGTGTTGCTGCTCACTTCAAACCACTCAGATCACACAACAGGTTTGATCTGAGCTAGACTGCCATGCCATGAATTAAGGAAATCAGTCTCCAGCTCAGTTTTTAGGCTGTTTGCAGTTGGTGATCTCAGTTCCTTGAAGAGATCCTGACTATTGGGGAGAGTTCTGTTTGTGTTGAAATTTGAACTGAAACTTGCTTCTGTCTCTGCTGCCTTCTAACTGGAATCCAACATTAACTCCTGTCATAGTGGCTCATTCCTGTTTTTCAGGTCCTCTCAAATTCATCTGCACTAAGCTGCCTGAAGTTAACCTTGCTGATTTGAGTACAAGGTGTTGCTTGTCTTTACCTTCTTTCAGCTGTTTGGGGTGTATCAGCAGAGACCTGATGATGGCACTAGATAATAACTGTAGTGATCTACAAACCATGGATGTGCCCTGGGACTGATGGGAGTTTGGTATGATTCCCAAATGGGTCCCTCTAATTCAACATGCTGTGGCAGAAGCTCATTCTTGGTAAATTCATGTGGTCTAGAAGGATGCAGAGAGAGAAGTTAAAGCTATTTTTGTTTCCCCTATCAAACAGAAGTCGATGCAGCACTGGCACTGCAAGCCAGTAAAATGTGTGAGTAAAATAACCCTTCAAATATGGGCTCTGCAGTGAGCTTGGAATCAAATATTTGTGTGGGAGGTTGAGGTGAGAGCTCCCAGGAGCTGCTGCACAATCCTCTTCTCCCTCTTGTTACTTAGTGGTTTTGGGGACAGATGAACAGAGAGGCAGAAGAGGTCACAGGCATGTTTGGAAGGAAGGTCTGAAAGCAGCTCTTTTGCTATATATGATGTTTGGGCAGTCCTTGTGAGCTGTCTTGCTTTGGAGGATGCTGTGGAGTTGCCAAGTTTTGGGAGTTTGGAACCATCCAGAGCCGACTCAGCAGGGACATTGCCAGGCAAACGGGGTTGGATTTCAGACCGTTTGTGCACTGCTCAGAGGAACTGGCTGTGATTCCTGGCTCAGGGAGCCTGTTGGGAGGAAAAATGTGTCAGGATTGGCATTTCATGTGTGTTTCTCCCTGTGCCCCTTTGTGGGAAGGAGAGGCGAGTGCTGGTTTGGATTTGGGCTGAAGATGTGGGAATGCAGACCTGGAGCAGGAGGATCTGTGCCTGGGAGTTGGTGTCCATGGAAGGTGTGTGGGTGCACTGTGTCAGGTTGTGCTTAGCCTCCACACCTCAGCCTTGGTCTGCAGAGCTCCTGGCTGCAGGGGCTGAGCCTTGGTTCGTGGGTGGCTTTGGGGGAAGCATCTTTTAGGGCTAAAAAAAAATGGGCAAGACAACATGGTCTGGGTACCACAAACTTCCTCCAAGTGCTGTTTGTGTGAGAACAGAACAGAAACCACCTCTGGGCATTCATTATCTCCTGCCTGGCCCTTGCTGTTGTGCCTCTGGACGAGTGAGCTGTGTTTTCTCTCGGCAGATGTCAACCTTTGACCTAGATAGTTTTGACTTTTAAAAATACATTGAGCAGAAATGAAAAAGCCAAAAAGAGCAGAGAGAAGTGTCAGAATAAGAGGAGCAGGAACATGCTGTGTCCATCCACCTCAGGAAGGGGTTGGCTATGCAACAGGCAAGATATTTCCAGTGTCAGCTTTCCATGCATGCTCAGTCCTTCGGAGAGCTTTGGATGCATGTGGTCTAACAGAGACAGCTGTAACTCTGAGAAGACTTGGAGTGCCCAGAGAAGTATGTTTGCTGTCTCTTGAAGCAGTGTCACTGCTCACAAAGTGCTTGCACTGAGGGCATGGCATGTGCCACTGCCAGAGGTGTCAGAGGATGCATGGGAGGAAGGCTGGGCTGGAGGTTAACGTGCCGAGTGCCTGTGGAAAAAGTGACAGCAGGAGAGTTAATGAAAAGCAGACACAGTGCTGGGAGCTGCTCAGCCAAGAAAGTCTGCACAGTTTTCTCTGGGATCCAACAGAAACATGTTAGAATTTGGCTACCCTCTGTGTTTCCCAAGGGAAGGTGCTGCAGGTGTGGATACCTGGTATGTGGCTTCTGTGCTCTGCACCAGCTGGAGGGAAAACAGATGTTGCGTTACTCTTGCAATGAGTGTCTTGGAGCCAGAAGCTGAGTTTCCCGTCCAGATTCCTGCCCAGGGGCTGCCTTTGGCTGCTTGCATATGTGGTCTGTAAATCACAGAACCACAGAGTGGTTTGGGTTGAAAAGGACCTTAAAGATGATCTCATTCCAACCCCTGCCATGGGCAGGGACACCTTCCACAAGAAGTGGAATGCTTCCATATCTGGATGCTTCCATGTCTCGTGCCCAGGGGAAGATTAAAGTTGCACAATGAAGTGAACTTTGTGACCACTGCAGAGCAGTGTGGGAGCATTGCTGTCAAACTCCTCTAGAAATGCTGGCCTTGTTTTTGGCAGAATGGAGGCATCGTGTCTGGAGCTGGCCCTGGAAGGAGAGCGGCTGTGCAAGGCTGGGGACTTCAAAGCTGGGGCAGCCTTCTTTGAAGCAGCAGTGCAGGTGGGGACAGAAGACCTGAAGACTCTCAGTGCCATCTACAGCCAGCTGGGCAATGCCTATTTCTACCTAAAGGAGTACTCCAAGGCCCTGGAGTACCACAAACATGACCTCACCCTGGCTAGGTAAGCATGGCAGCACTGCTTCATCCTCATCAGACACACAACCTCTCCAGGCTAGAGCAAGTTCTGTGTGGTCTGAACCCAACAGCCTGAGGGGATAAGCATCCAAAACTAGCCCTGGGGCTGACTGTCCCATGGAGAACTCGGGAGGCAGTGAGAATAGTTCAGCTACCTTCAGAGCAGGGAGGTGGAGGTGGATGTGAGGAAAGTGCTTGGAGCAAGAGCAGGGCAGTGTCCAGTTCTGTCCTCAGGCACTGGGGAGGTGTTGTAAGTACCCCTGAAGTCATTAGAGCAGTTCACCTGAGACAGCAGAACGGGGAACAAGGATCTGTCTTGAGAACTGTGGGAGCCTGTCTGAAGCTCTCCAGCCAGGTGTGAGTGCTGGGAGCTGCTGGATGTGGTGCATGTGCTTGCTGCAGCTTGAATCTGCCTCTAGCAGTTGGTGACTAAAAGTCTGTGAGCTCTTTAACACCTTCATCTTGCAGAACCATCGGGGACCGCATTGGAGAAGCCAAAGCAAGTGGCAACCTTGGGAATACACTGAAAATACTTGGGCAGTTTGATGAAGCTGTTGTTTGTTGCCAGAGGCATTTGGACATTTCTCAGGAGCAGGGAGACAAGGTAATTGGCTCATGGTTTCCAACAGGAAATATTTCCTGGCTTTAAGAATAAGCTGTCTGCAAGTCAGTAAATGTGATCTGGAGAGGGTGGACTTCGGAGGGAGGGGGAGTGTAAAGCTCTCCCTCCTGGCTGCCAGCACAGGTCTTGTGCTGCTGGCAGTAACATCTGCCACGAGGGTGAAGGTGGGGAGAGGAAAATGTGGTTTCTGGCTTTGAGCACCACTGCCCAGCAGTGGAAAGGTCCACACTGGAATGTGAAGTTCTTCCCTGTTCTTCTTCCCTTTAGGTAGGTGAAGCCAGAGCACTGTATAATATAGGAAATGTTTACCATGCAAAGGGAAAGCACTTATCCTGGAACATGGCCCAGGACCCAGGCTACCTGCCCCAAGAAGTCAAGGAGACACTGCAGAAAGCTTCAGAGTATTATGAGTAAGTATCCAAGTTTGGCCAACCCTTTGTCCTGCAGGGAAAACAGGGCCACTGCCTGAGAATTTGCATATTATAATGAACTAGGAATGCTCTCCTGAGATATCAAGTTGTGATGATGAATTAATCTCAGAGGAGGGTGAGAAAAGGACTAGAAGCTTTTTATAAAATTTGAGCTTAACTTCATGCTGCCATTGCCTTGCTGAAACTTGCTGTGGTTTGAGCTGTGGTCATGCAATTCAGTTCAATAGTCTGCTCCTTTCCAGGGCTGTTTGGAAGCTGAACTCAATCAGCTTCTGCAGCCCCTGCTGCTCTCTGCTGGCCTCCAGGAGGATGGATCCTGTGTCTCCATCGCTGGGGCCACTCTCCACCGCCCAAGGGAAGAGTCAGGAGCTCCCAGAGCTGCTCTAGCTTGTGTCACCACACTGTCACCTGCAAGGGGTGACTGTGCCCAGGGCAGGTGTTGAGAGGGAAACACCTTCTCCAGGGTTGTCTCTCCTCTCTGTATGTGCAAATTTGCTCACTGTGTCCCCTGCAGGGTGCTGACTGTGTCTCACTGGACATTCTGCTCTGGTGTCTTTCAGGAGGAACCTGTCCCTGGTGAAGGAGTTGGGGGACAGAGCTGCTCAGGGCCGTGCTTATGGCAACCTTGGCAACACCCAGTACTTACTTGGCAACTTCAGTGAAGCTATAGCCTTCCACAAGGAGGTAGGAGACCTCTGGAGATGTTTCCCCCAGCTGTTTTTCTCCCTCCTCTGTGGGTCAGTACAACAGGTCTGGCCCTGTTGTACTAACTCATGCTGAGCAAACCTTACTCCAATCCCCATCAGCCCCTAACGAGCAGCTCGAGGGAAGGGTGTTGTTGGCTTGGAAACCGAAGGAGGTATCCAAGGGCAAACTGCAGCTGGGTCTAGCAAGGTTTTTTCTGCTCTTAATTTGTCTCAGTCTCGATTTTAATAAATGCAAGCCATGAATTTAATTAAGCTGCTGAAAGAGCTGTTGATCAAGAATAAATGCTGCTTGTAGAACATAATAACTTTCTCTAAAGCTTTATGGAGGGGTGAGGTGACACAGTCCCTGCCCCAATTCACAGGCAATTTAGCTTCTATTTCAGCGTGTGTATCAGTTTCCTGGCAGGGGAAGGTGCTCAGCACCCTGGAAATTCAGCCCTGTCACAGCTCTTATGGTTTTTAAATGCTGGGGGACAATTTGGGCCACTTCTCCAAAGGCCTTTCCTGATGCTGCATTGCAAAAGAGGGAGAGATTTCTTGCTGCATCCAGCCCTGACAGGCAGGGGCAGCACTACCTGGCTGAGTGGGAGCTGTGCAAAGCAAGGAGTTGATGTCCCAGAGAAGCTGCTGGGTGACAGCAAGTGGTCAGTGGCCACCTGTGCTCACTGCCCTGTGTCTGCTGCAGCGTTTGGCCATTGCTAAGGAGTTTGGGGACAAGGCAGCTGAGAGGAGAGCCTACAGCAACCTGGGCAACGCACACATCTTCCTCGGGAGGTTTGACATCTCTGCTGAGTACTACAAGTAAGTGCCAGGGCTGGGACAGACTTGGGGCACATGGTCCCTGGAATCTTGGCCTGTTGCAGTGAATCCTTAGGCTCAGGGGGATGTGACAAGGGACCTGAAGGCCAATGGCATGTGTGGTGCTCAGCAGTGGTGGGTGATACATCCACCTGAGCTCACAGGGTGGGACAGGCATCAGCTGCAACACAGTGTGTGCCAAAGTGGTGGCTGCCTGACCAGGTCTCTTCATTCCCACCTGTTCCCTGCAGGAAAACACTCCAACTCTCCAGACAACTCAAAGACCAAGCAGTAGAAGCTCAGGCTTGCTACAGCCTTGGAAACACATGCACACTGTTGCAAGACTATGAAAGAGCAATCGAGTACCATCTGAAGCACCTGGTGATAGCACAGGACCTGGGAGACAGGTAAAGGAGCACCTCAGGACAGGGTTCTCTGCTCTGCTGGGTGCAGAGCACTGAACCTTCCCTGCTGCCTTACTGCTCTCTGTTGCTGGGGTTAAATAGCAGTGAAGTGTAGTCTTGAAAGTCATTAGAAATCTCTCAGAACTCAGGCCTTGGTCTAGGCATTTGTCAGAAGTGTGGCATGATTGACACCTTCAGCATGTCATTCAAACCTGGAGATTGTGCCCTTAATGCTGTGTCTGTGTGGGCTGAGTGAGATTTCTAACAAGAGGTACTTGAAGAAAATGCTTTGTGTTCTGTGCTTTGCCACGTGGCTGCTGCTGTGCTATCTCACAGGGCCCTCTAAAGCTTCCTCAAGGGCACAAAAATTGTAGCTGCCTTAGAAACTGTGTGGTTAGGGTGTACACATGTGCTGCTTTGTCCTGTTGCTCTGAGATGATGCTGGAAACTTCCATGTAGAAACAAATGATGTTACATAGAGGATGTGGAGTTGATGTATTTTGCTTCTTGAAAGCAATTGCAAGGGGGAAATTTAGATTAGGTATCAGGAAGAAGTTTTTCCTGTGAGGGTGATGAGACACTGGCACAGGTTGCCCAGGGAGGCTGTGGCTGCCCCAGCCCTGGCAGTGTTCACAGCCAGGTTGGATAAAGCCTTGAGCAACCTGCTCTGGTGGGAGATGTCCCTGCCCAGGGACTAAATGATCTCTAAGGTCCATTCCAACCCCTTAACATACTATGATTCTTGGTCTCATTCCTTCTTATTTAGGAGGCTTGGCCTCTTAATTTTTCTTTTTTTGATTTGAGTTTATCCCTTTCTCTTGGATACTCTGAGATCCTGACCCTTCTTGCAGCTGAAGTGACTTTGCAGCCAGCTTGTTCAGCTCTATGCTGAATTCTCCTGGCAGCTGAGTGTCCTCCACTAGATGGAGCAGAGACATCAGGTTGGGAGAGCTGTGCCACCACCCGGCCAGTAAGTGCTCGAAGAAGGTATAATCCCACCCCAGGGTGAATCATGCTGTGGGGGTGCAGGGCTGTGGGCTCCTGCACTGCTGGGAACACACCCTGTGAGCAGAAGGTATTGAACAGGGTGACAAGAAAAACGTTGAAATGCTGATCAACCCGCCCAAACCTCTGAAAAGGGAGTTGCAGTCATGCTGAACCTCCCCCTGCGCCCCCAGCTGCTTTTTTTAGCCCTTCTCCCCCCACATCTGCTTGTTACAGAGCTCAGCAGGCTCTGGTGAGCAGGAGGGCTCTGTCTGCTCCTGCAAGCAGGTGCTGAAGCTCCAGGGGCACAGAGGTGCCAGGCTGGGGGTCAGGGGAGGTTCCACACTCACCTCCCTGCCCTGGCTTGGGAAAATAAGCAGCAGTGCCCTGGAGACCTTGTGGGAATCAGTCACTATTCACTTGGCTGCTGGGGGCAGTTCCAGGTCGTGTGTGCACACTGGTGATGAGCTGCTGGAGCTCTTGCCTGCCTGCAGTGCTCTCTCCTTGCCATCTTCTTCCTACTTTAGCTCTTGCTGTTGTTGAACCAAAGGGTTGGATGTTGTGTTCCCTCTTGACTCATCAAACATCTCTGGAGAGGAAGAGGTGGAAGCAGGAGCTCATATCATGTTTGAGGCGAAAACAGGAGCTCTGTCTCCTGCTCTCAGGCTGGTGCTCCCCAATGAAGCCAAACCATTGGGCCCTTGCTACACTGCTTAGTTCTTTGCCACTGTGGGTACAAACCTGATTCTGAGGCTGTTGTTCATCCCTAGCTCTTGCTCTTGCAGGAAGAGTTTGAGACATCCAAGCACATTTCATTTTCCTTTGTAGAACCTTTGTGTAGGTGAAAGCCCAGCGATGAGCCAGGCTGGTAGTGCTCTCAAGGAGGCCCTGAACAGGCTGCTGAGCTTTGCCCAGCATTTCTGTGGTTGACAGTTTCCTGTTCTGCAGGGTGGGAGAAGGAAGAGCCTGCTGGAGTCTCGGAAATGCCTATGTCTCCCTGGGGAGCCATGAACAAGCTTTGCACTTTGCAAGAAAACATCTAGAAATCTCCCAAGAGGTAAGAGATGCTGGTTCAGCACAGAGGGGAACCAGTCCCCCCTGGTGAGAGGAAGGCTATTTTATGGCAGTAAGTTATATTAATGTAGATCTTCTAGTGCTGTGGCTGCTCTGGAAAGTCCTTCTCTACGTGCTGTTTCAGTGGTGTCCTTAGGAACTGCAGAGCTTGGCTGGAAAACATTCTTTTTCTGGGAGGCTCCCAGCTTTCCCCTTATAATTACAGTGAATGTATTAGCTGCACTTTGCTCTTACCCAATATTCCTGGGTGAGAAAGGACCTGGGGACTAGCTGTCCACTCTGCTGGCCAAGGTGTTGTGCACTCAGCAGGTGTGAAGGAGCTCAGATACCTCTTGGTGTGCAGTCTGTTAGTCAGATTCTCCTTTTCTGAGCACAAAGCTGTGAGATGCCAACTGAGAGGGACCTGGTGATTCCAGCTGAGGTCTGGCTGCATTTGCTGGCTGGTTAAGCACATGGAGGGTACAAGACCAGCTCCTGCCCAGTGCCTGGTGCTCTAACCCTGCTGTGGCCTGTGCTGCAGCAGAGTGTATGTTTAAGAAGCTATTTCCTTTCAGTGGAGCTGCCAGGTGGGGAGCTCCAGCAGTGTCCTCTCAGTGCTGTCACTGGCCACACAGAGCCTGCAGCCAGCCCTGTGCCCCTGCCACACCATTTGGGGTGCCATGCCCAAGTTCACTACAGCTTTCCTGCTGCAGGAACCTGCAGTGTTTCTAGGTGGCTGAGAAGTGCAGAAAGCAAGAATTCCATTGTGTGCCCTTTCCAGTGTGTTGAGGAAATCAGCTGTGGCCTCTTTAGTCTTCCCCAGATGAAGAAATTGCCCTCTTGAAGCACTAATTGAAATCACCATATGTAAGAGCACTGGGTGTTCTCCTGCCTGTCTATTAGATTGGCTAAATCTCAGAGTAAGGCTGACACAGCAGCCTAATTACAGATTTAATTATACTTATCAGACTCACAGAAGAAATAGTGTTCCTTGGCCCTGTACATTTTAGGACAAATTAACTTTTCCAGCCCTAGTTTGCTTGGGCTATGGCTGTGTGGGCTGAGTCCTTGGAGTGAGACATCAGCTCTGTGCAGATGAGGAGGGATGGGAGGATGAGCACTGGTGGTCCCAGGGACTTTGGGGGTAGAGGTGAAACCCATGGGGGTTTTCAGGGTGCTGGATCTGATTCCAGGCCATGTCAGGAGTAGGTTGCTCAAGGTGGCTGATATAGTCCCCCCAGCATTAGTTGTGGAGCATGCAGAGACTGTCCCTTTGAGGAGAGCCTGCACTGGCTTCTAGCAGTGATTCTGTTCCAGCCAAGGATTTATTTTAGCCTTGGGAATGAGTGGTCTGCTTGTGCTGCTGTGGCAAGCACCAGCATTTAGCCCTTGTGAAATTAAACCCTTTCATACTGCTGTTTGTAACCCACTTCCCATCACCTTTTCCCCCTTCTTCCCCAACAACAGTCTAACAGTGACACCTGAATCCAAATGAAATCTTCTCAGGGTAACCACACTGGAAGGTGTTGCAGGATGATCAGAGGCTACTGAAAAATCTCCTCTGAAACAGCTGGAATAAGGGGCATGTACCTAAAAGCCCTGGAAACTGCCCCAGCTCTGGGACACTGCTCTGGAGTACCTTTGTCATCTCTGAGTGTGGCAGGAGGCTCCTGGGAAGCTGAGACATTTGGGCTGAGGGCAGAAAACAGAGCTATGCTGTGTGTGTGTGTGTGTGTGTGTGTGTGTGTGTGTGTGTGGTAGGTCCTGCCCAGGATCATTGTCCTGCCAGTCTGTTCCTTGGTTGTTAACAGGGCTTTGGAGATGATCTGCAATGAGTGGGAGTCAGGAAAGCATTTAATAGAGCATCAAGGACTGTAAGACCTAACCAGGACATAGTAATTTCTCTGGAGATGATGTCAACAGCAAATCTCCTGTAATTGGCAGGGGGATTTATGCCTGGTGATAAGCCCTTTGATCTGCCTCCCTTTACTAGCTCTTGGGGCTTTGTCATAAATAATGTGGGGATTTATGATTTTGTTCTAGGACGGCTCACGCCGTCGTCTATCGCCGAGGACCACAAAAGAGCTGCTGCCAGGCATTTACCAAGGAATCAGGGCTCTCCAGGGGGACAGCCAAGGTCCTCCTCTGTCACAGAGCTGCTCTTGCTCTGAGGATTAGAGGCAGTTTCTGGGTGACCTCTCTGTGTTTGCTGGTGATTGTCTTTGGTTAAACTTTGAGGAGGACTCAGCATCATGTCCTACAGCTCATGTCAAATCCTGGGGGCAGTTTTGGGTGCCACAATATAAGATTTAAAGGTATTAGATAGAGACCAAAGGAGGGACATGAAGGTGGTGGAGGGTCTGGAGGAGAAGCTGTGTGAGGAGTGGCTGAGGGCACTGGGTTTGTTCAGCCTGGAGAAGAGGAATCATAGAATCAGCTGGGTTGGAAAAGACCTTAAAGATCATTAAGTCCAACCCTAAAGAGACTGAGGGGAGACACACTGGGGTCTGCAGCAACTCATGAGGGACAGTGAAGGGGCAGAACTGATCTCTGCTCTCTTGATCAGTGACAGGACCTGAGGGAACAGCATGAAGCTGTGCCAGGGGAGGTTGAGATTGGATATTAGGTTCTTCCCCCAGAGGTGTTTGGGCACTGGAACAGCTCCCCAGGGCAGTGGTCACAGCCCCAAGCCTGACAGAGCTCGAGGAGTGTTTGGACAATGCTGTCAGGGATAGGGTGGGAATGTTGGAGTGTCCTGTGCAGGGCCAGGAGTTAGACTGATGATCCTGAAGGGACCCTTCCAGCTCAAGATATTGTAGGACTCCCCATCTTAAGTAGCAGGAGCTGTTGGTCAGATCTCTTCCCAACCACGAAACATCAGCTTCCTTGGCCTCAGGCCAGTAAGAGGTGGAAAACTGGAAAAAATGTGGACTCTAAAAGATTTTTGGAGTCTTGTGTGGGTAGCTCACTAGGAACAACTCAAAGTTGTATGGATGTGAGCCAGGAGAGAAGGGCTTTCAGAGCATCCAAACCCTGGTGTGACTCTGCCCACGTGGCTGAGAGCAGCGTGGCTGGTGCTCAGTAACTATGGAGATGCTTGAGGAAGGGGGCTGAGAGTTCCAGGGCTCTCTGCCAAGCCATGTGTGGCTACAGGATGGACCAGACAGGCACATTGAGCTCTGGCTCAGTTCTGTGGCAGTGGGTGAGCTGAGCCCTCTGAGTTCCTTGCACAGAAGTGTGTTTTGGGGAGCAGCACAGCATGCACAGACCCTCTCCCCAGTTATCACTGAGGAACAGCTTTGGAGAGTGGTTTTGATGCTGAAAGCTGGGCTCTGTGGTCTCTCAGGGTGTCTCCAAGCTCTCTTTTTGGCTAGCTGTGTGTTTGCTTTGAGGTGGGACTGGCAAAGCCTTACTGGGGGGGTTTGTTTGGAGCATGATCCCTTTAACCAGCTGCATTGTTGGTTTCCACACAGATCGGGGACCGGAATGGGGAACTGACAGCACAGCTGAACATGGCCCAGCTCAGGTCAGCCCTTGGCTTGGGCTCTGGGGATGAGGACATGGGTGCAGCTCAGCACTATTCAGGCTATGAAGCACAAGGTGAGTTTCTGGGCTGCTGGTGGCATTGGAAGGTCTCTGGAAAGCCAAGGTGTGGGGAGGGAGAGGTGTTTGCAGGTGAGCAGGAAATATGAATGCCAGAGCAAGATAAAGCTTATCAGTGCCTTTATCAGAAAGGAGACCGTGGTGTGTTTGCTCTGTGCTTTCCATAAGCTGTAAGGGCAGGGAAGGATCCCCCAATAAAGGCACAGAACAAGTTAATCTTCACTGGGAATAAAATTCCACGTGCCATGCAGCAAATCAGCTTCTGTATCTTTCAGAGCTCTGCAGGGCCCTTTGTAACTGCTGTGGCTGATAACACAGCCTTTCAGAAGTGACTGGCAGGGATTTTTGGCTGCTCTAGCTCTGATTAACACCCAGGAACAAGCCTAGGGCATGGGCTGAAAGCAGGTTGTGAGCATCAGCACACTGGGTGCTGTCTCACCCCTGAACACCTGCAGTGATGAGCTTGGAAACAAGATGCGTCAAGACTGGGTCATGGCAGACAAATGGATCTGCTCAGGGCACTGCACCTTGGGTTGTTCTGCCTCTGCTGGTGTGTACCCCCAGCTTGGAGACCATCTGCCTGTCCTGGGACTGCCCACTGGAGACACTGGTGGGTGCCTGGGCATTCCAGCTGGCTGCTCTGTGCTGTGGACAGACTTATTAATTCACACACACCAAGCTGCATCCCAGGAGGTGCTGAGTGATTAAATATGACCTTGTTAGTGCAGATACGTTTTCCCAGGCACTGTGTTGGTAGGATTGACGTGGAGAAGATGATGCTGGGGCTGAGACACTGTGCTCTGGGAGAGAAGGGCTGGCTGGGCATGGCTGCTCTTGGTATTGATCTCAAAGGTGTAACCTGCTACGTCAGTGCTGAAGCTTTTCCTGGGAAATCGAACTGTGGTGAGGGAGCAGCTTGTCCTGCCGTGGCCCAGTGGAGCTGAGCTCTTGCCTCAGAGGCCATGAAGGCCACAGCAGCTGCCTCAGCCTCCTTCTGCACTCCTCTTTATAACTTCTGGAAAACTTAGCTGGAGCCTTCTACTTATTCCTGGCATCTCCTTAGGGGCTTCCTTTTGGTCAGTGATTTTGTTGTGAAAGGGGAACAGGAAATGAACCTCAGTGTTAGTGCTGTTTCTGGGACAGAGGGAACTGTGGAGGAAAAGAGCTGCTGGAGTGCTGGGTCCCTTGTGCTGGGAGTGGAGGGGTGCAGGAGGAGGGCAGTGCCAAGGACTGTGTGGGCACCAGAGCAGAGATGTGTCTGGCTGGGAATTCTGCAAGCTGTGTGGAAGAGCTGTGGTGGAAAGGATCAGGCAGGGAGAGGGGCTTTGGCAGGTCTGGCTCGTGCACAATCAGGAGTGCACAACCTTTGCTAAGCTGGAAGTGACTGAAAAAGTAGAGCAAGGGAGTCTCTGCTGTCATAACACACTCCACAGTGAATCTGGGCTTGGGTGTCGCCTGCTCTGGACTCTGCTGTGCACTGTGGGGTCAGGGAGGGTCTTGTTCTGAGCAGATCCCTTCCTGGGGAGAGCTGAGCCTGGTGGTGACACAGCCCCACCGACTGCATCTCGCAGCAGGAGACTCAGTGTGACACCAAAGGGTTGGGATTTTCCTTAAGCCACATAAACCTGGCCAGTCATGGGCTTCACTCTGGGGGTGAGGCAGGACATGGCAGAGCCAGTGCATGTCCATACTCGCTGCCCTCCTGTGATCCAGATGTGCTGTGCTGGGTTAACATCTGGAGCCAGGAGTGTTTTTCCTCTCCTCAGCCTGAGCCAGGCAGGTCTGTGTGATCACAGGAGGATGGGAAAGGGTCTGAGCAGCTGCAGTCGAGGCAGTGCTGTTCTGGAGGTTGCAGTGACCTCGTTAATCTGTGCTGCTGTTGCTCACATTCCCAAGGCTGGGGCTGTTTGTCAACAGAAGGACAAAGCGTTCTCAGGAGGAAAACCAGCAAAGTGACTGGGGCTTGCAGTGCAGAGAGGGAGGGACCTCACAGAGCTGAGCTTTTCCTCTATGGAGTGTGGGGGACACTGCCCCTGGCTGGGTCCTAGGAACCTGCTGGGGAGGTAAAAACCAGCTGCCCCCATGTTTTGAGGGCTGGGGCTGTGCAGCAGCATCCTGCCCCAGGGAAGGAGTGCGAGTGTTACACCTGGCTCAGCACTGTGTGGTTTGAACACATGTCTCAGGTGGGAAAGGTGCTGTCCTTGTTGCATAGAGATTTGGAGAGAGAATGGGTCTGGAGAGGAGCTTGGCTCCCTTGGTGTCTCTTTGGCTTTTGTCGTGGCTTCAGCTCTCTTTTTCTGAACCTCAGTGGAGGATGAGAGGCCACCAATGTGTCTCTGGGCCCTTGCAGAGAAGGGAGATGTATTTAATGGCTGCCAGGAATTTTGGTACCCTCCTGTGCACCTATTAAATGATTAGAAAAGCAAAATTATTGATATTATTAATAGCAGCAATTTACAGCAAGAGGAACATCTGTTTCTGTAATAGGAAGCAGGTGAGGGAGTTGAGATTCAAGTTGACTTCTGAACCAGCCAAACCTTTTGATGTCGACAAATCTCATGGTGAGAAAGAAGAGCTTTCCATTTTTTCCCCCTTCAGATTCTTTTCCCTGCTGAAGGTTCTGAAACTGCATATTCCTAAGGATGCTAAAATCATCTGATAAGGCAGAGCTGTTATAAAACACATTAATTTGATCAAGCAGGTGAAATAAAGCTTCATAGCAAAGGCTAAGCCAGATCATCCCTGTGATGTCCTTCACAGGTTACTTCTGCTTTGGGCATTGCCCTTCCTGGGGGACCTGGGGGTGCAAGGAGTGCCTGATGTTTCCCTCTGCTGCTTTGGCTCCTCTTGCTGAATTCTTTGTGACTTTAATTAATATTCTGAGAGTATTTGGACGTCAGAAGACAAAGCTAGAGGCCAGGGGAGTGGGGCAGTGCTGCAGGAGTCTTGTGAAAGCAACGACCTTGTGGAGCAACACAAACACAGAGAGCTTAAAGCAACAAACTGAAGGAAGCTGGAGAGTAGCTAAAACATGAAGTAAATAAACAGAGGTTGTTGCGTTTGTTTCTCCAAACAACCAAAAATGTGGCCCTGAAAAATGGTCTTGTCCTCTTTCCACACACTGCAAGTTAAGGATTGAGTACTGGTAGGTTTTGCCTTTGGAGAGAAGTGAGGGACCTCGGGGTGGGTCCAAGAGAGCTGTCTTGTTGGGGTAAAGACAACCAGGACAAGAAGCAGTGCTGGGAGATGTCCCAGGATGCAAACAGCCAGCCCTGCCCTCGGCACTGCTGTGGGATGGGAGCCCTGGTGCCACCCTTCCTGGCTGTGCTTTTGGGGTATTTCCATGGTGTGTGCTAACCAGTGCTGCCTTACAGCATTCCCCTCTTTACCACCTCCTCATGCCAGTTCAGCCTTGGGGGGCTGGCACCATCCTGCCAGCTGGGAGGGGACTACAGAGACAGGGATCACCCACCAAGGGGTGGAGGTGCTGGGCAGGAGGCAGAGAGCTGCCCAGCCCAGCCTCTGTGCCTCTCCAAAGTGAACACTGACTCCGGGCTGCTCTTCTTTTGCTTTCAGCAGCATGTCAGCCTCAGCCATCATCTCTGATGGCTGTAGCAGTTTTAGGAGACACTAAGCAACACCTCTCCTGGCAGCTGGGTGTAGGTGGGGAGGGATGCAGGTGTTCCAGAAGGCGTTGGCATGTGGATGCTTTCAGAGCGTTGTAAGCTGGTTCCTGGCATGGTTTCTGTGCTGTTTGCAGACATCACTGCCCTGCTGTGCTGAACAGCTCTGAGGGCAGGAAAGGACTCAGCTGTGAGCCTGATTTCTCCCACTTTCTGCTCATCTTCTGCTGAGAAATGGTAGGCATGAGGCTGCTCTGCTCCTTGGGTGTGCAGGAGGCTCCGTGCTGGGTGTGCTTATCCCTGCATGAGGCAGATATGCTTCAGGTTGTGTTCTGCAGTGGGCAGCTGAGCCCAGGTGGGCATGAAATCCCACTCCTTCCTGAGCACTGCTCAGCTCTGTGGGGCTTTGATTGTGGGGCTTTGCATCCTCAATACAGTTTTGAGCTTGCCTCTTCACAAGAATCTTTGAACCCTTGGATCAATCAGACAGGGATGGAAGAAATCTGCTTTTATGTTTGCCAGCCTGTTTGTTTTTTTGTTTGCTTGCTTTAAATACCTTTGAAGTACCTCAGAAGTGTTTAGGGCTGCTGAAATAGGCAGGATTGACCATTCTCTGCTGATGCAAGCAGGGAGTCAGGGATGCTGCTCCCCCCTACCAGCCTGTGCGTGGGGCCAATGCTGCCCAGGGTCAGGGATGATCCTTTCCTGTGCTTTGCTCAACCCTGCTGTGGAAAACTGGCTGTCAGCTGAGAGCTGTGGCCATTTGAGACCAGCATCATCCTGACAGTGGGACAGCCCTGTTCCCTCAGGCTGCAATTTCACTGTCTAGGGAGCATTTGCCTTCTGCTGAGCAGACGAGTGCAAGATCACATCCCTAACGGCTCCAGCATGGAACCTGCCCTGTTCTTACCACTCAGACTGAGTGCAGCAATTCCAACTGCTTAATACTCAATATTCTCAGCTCCGTTGGAGCTGCAGGTTGGGCTGCAGCTCAGCCTTTTGTCGTTGTGAACATGAAAGCCTGAGGCTGTGCTGGTGCATTGTACCTGCTTACACAGGGGGTTGGTGGATGAGGGTGTTGACAAGCAGAGTAGCTTTTGGCCAGGTGGCAGGGAGGATGCAAGGGGGGCTGGTTGCTTTTTTGTGCTCTAGCAGGTGCTCAGAGCAGAGCTAGTGCAAATGTTCCCATGTGTCTCCCAGTAAGGTGTCCAAAAGACCTGTGTGTGTGCTGCTTGAGGGAGCAGGGCAGGAGGGCCAGGAGTGCTGCTTCCATGGGAGGATTCTGGAGTGAAGATTTAGGACTTCTGAAGGCTTCCTTATCTTTATAATGAGTTTTTTCTCTATCTGAGTAACCTCTGCTGCTACAACTGTTAA